CTTGTATGATATTACTATTATTTTTCGCTAACCAGTTAGTTTATGTTTTGGATCTTTATTGTCACTTTTGATTTCCATTTCCCTACCAGAATGTAAATTGAGGTATTAAAGGTAAGAGCTTGTATTTAAAGGAATGTTTCAAGAGTTTAATTCAGAGCGTATTCTGCCTCTCGAAGCCACTAGTTTGCTGCTAGATAAGATTTGTAGTCTTCGGCCTTGCATTGCACTTTCCGATATTTGAATATCTACATCGATTAGGTTTGTGAGAGAACTTCGAGTTGAAAAAGCTTGTGTAGTCTTTGTGTAGCTTGTTTTAAATTTGAACTCACTTTAAATTGCATCGTTAGAAGTGGTTGCTTGAATAGTAAATACGAGTAGTGCATTTATGTTCAAATTATGATTGAATAAAAAAACTTGTTTAAGTCTTCTTAAGACTTTGTCATTAATTTTTAGTCTCAGCGATAATTCTTTGTCGGTCTGTCTAAAGTTCGGTCCCACGTCTTTGTATGATAGGTAAGAAAACGAAACTTTATAACCTTTACGCAATGTGCCTATTTTTGTGATGGTCAATGGTTACACTAAATCTGCATTGCTTTTTTTTTTTTTTTTTTTTCCCAGATTCATTTCTTTTCTGTTAGCAGTTCATGAAATGGGATGTCAAAAACGGCAAGAACATTTTGAGATACATTGTAGTTAATTTGAATGTATATAGAGGTACGCATTTACCTTTTTGCCTCAGGTGAAAAAATATTTAAGCGCTATTTACATACAGTTCACAGTTTCAAATAATCATTTCAAAGACTTTTGCATATTAGAAATGCAAACTGAATTAGGGTTGTGATTGGTTAATTAAATGCCTGCTGTGAATAATAAATTGATAAAACACTTTTGTAGGTTTGAAAATTTTCACTTAGTAATTTATGTGTTTTACTTTATTATTTACAAAGTTATGTAATTTCTTTTGATACGATTGCTCAGTTGGTTAATTAAATTTATTCTGGCAGAGCACTTGTGAGTATCTGTCTATAGCAAATGCCTTGAATGGAAAAGTTTTGCAAAGAAAGTGTGTCATGTATGTTGATTCATAACAGTTAACAAGTTCTGGCACAAGATATACTCGTAGTGGCTTTAGCATTTAATCAGGCCATACCAGTTGCAGCAGTCATCAGTAATAGCAGGCTATATCAGTTGATGAAGCCAGCTGAACATTAAACTTTGCTCTTCATTTAAGGTAAGCTGTTATTAATTAAGCTATTAAAGTCATTCATTTTTATCCCTCTCTCTATTCCTGTGTTCATAAAATATACTACAATAGACCAATATTTCGTTAACAAACTGAAGAAAAGTAATTCCTAAGTTCCTAGAAAATGCAAGCATCTCAAAAGTTATTACTTTCAGAATATCATGGCATTTTAAATTTTGGCACCAAGGTATGTGTATTTACACTCATGGTCCATAAATTAAGGATAATGCAAAATCAGGCAAAGGAAGAGTTAGAAGCAAAACAAATTTGACTTATTTATTAAACAAAAGGTAAAGAGCAAAAAATGATGCTATATGTTTGATATTATTAAAAAAAATTAGCGATTTTTTCTCCCTGAAGCAAATTACAAAAAACACCTATTTACAAAAAACCAATATTACATGGTTGGTATGATTTTAATACATTGTATGTCTCCCAGACGATGCAATACAGTCCGTACAACACCTAGGCATGCTGAGTATCAAACTATCGATCTGATCTTGGGGGATATTACACCACTCAAAAAGCAATGCTCTCCGAAGTTCCGGTAGACATATAGGAGGAGGTTGACGAGCTGCAACTCGTCTGCCAAGCATGTCCCACACGTTCTCTACTGGATTCAAGTCCGGTGAGAATGCTGGCCAGTCCATACGGGTGATATCCTCCGATTGAAGGCATTCGCTTACGATGTTTGCACGGTGAGGACGGGCGTTGTCACCCATAAACACAAATTGTGCGCCCATGGCGCCCCTAAACAAACGTACATGTTGTTCCAGAATGACGTCCCGATAGATTTAGCTTGTCATGGTTCCAATTTGAACATGCAGGTCAATTCTGGAACCCAGAATAATTCCACCCCAAACGAGCACTCCTGCACCACCGTAACGGTGTCGTTCAATGATGTTTTCTTGGTAGTAACGGGTACCTGGAGCTCTCCATATGAAAGTCCGGCGAGAATCAGACTGCAAGCTAAACCTGGAGTCGTCGGAAAACATCACACAAGCCCACTGTTGCGGTGTCCACAATGCATGCTCTCTACTCCAGGCTAACCGCAGGCGACAGTGAGTTGCAGTAAGTGGAACGCATCTGACAGGTCTACAAGCATATAGACCAATCTGCCCTAACGTCTGTACACGGTCTGCCTTGAAATTGTCGTACCAGTGGCTGAAGAGAGCTGACGAGACAGGTCTGAGGCTGTGTTCCGCCTGTTTCTTTTGGCAGTAACTGCAAATACCGGTCCTCATTCGGCGTTGTAACTCTGGGGCGACCTGTGCTGTAACGTCTACTCACATTACCATCATCTTGGAATCTTTGCCAAAGCCTGGAGATGACACTCTGGGCAATTCCAAGTTCGTCTGATACTTCCAGTTGGGTACGCCCACATTCCAGACGGCCGATAATTCTACCACGTAAAAAATCATCCAAATGCGTCCTTTGTGTCATAACTATTCGGTTATTGCACTGAAATGCTTATAAAGCGCCTGCGAACAATTTTACTTCTTTGCCTGTATTCCTTATATATCACTCTCTTACACTCGTCATTGTGACGTACCACCGGTGTCATCTGGTTACTTCCTGAAATTTGCATATGATTCTTGAAGATGTGTGTAGTGATTTTACAGGTGATATATTTATTTTAGAGTTCGATTTCCGCGTGACTCCGAATTATCCTTAATTTATGGACATGAGTGTATATAAATACACTAGAGTCCGTAATTATCTTTGTATGCACAAAATCGCTGATTTCTCAAAAACTGTTGAATTAAACTGAATGAATTTCTTAGTGACATTATAATACAAAAATGTAAATTTAAAAATGAATATGGATGCACATGAACTATGTTATGAAACAAAGTTCAAATATCAAATTTAATCATTAATTATTTCTCCCATTTCATAAACTTTTCACCATAGGATTTAAAATCTTCTGACTTATGATAGCATATGCACAGATAGAAAAGTACATTGTATAAGTAAAAATAATAGTATCAAATTAATAACTTATTAATTAACTTATTAATCTTAATAAATATTAAGATTGGCTTCTTCGAAATATCCAATAGTACAATAACGTTAATGCATCTATGGCTTTTATGTGCTTGCTATATTCTTCATTTAAAACTCCTCTCCAGAAATTCATTATTGTGCTCTCTTGATTATCAAAAATTAAATTTGTAAAAAAGGGAATATGTGAATACATATAGAAATGGGCGACATTGATATTTTAGAGTAAAAGTTAATACCTTAGGGAAAAAATGCACTTTTTGAGATTAACAAAGAAATTATCTCTCTTAATTTTTCTATTCTTACGTGTGTACGGGTTTGTAACGGACTGAATGCACACAGAACCGATAATAGCTTGATAAATTTTTATTTTATTTATTTATTTATTTATTTTTTTTTTTTTAATTTAAAACCGAAAGAAATACTTACTCACGTTCTGAAACTTTCCTCGTATAAGAGAGTTCGATCAGTAGTTACCACTCCAAACTACTTTTAACGCGAAACAGAACGCAATGCACAGCGCATCCAAAGAACGAAGCTCCCACGGATCTCTCTCAATACACCGAGTTTAACGCTGACCTGAAAACCGCTTTAATGCTGAATGCTTTACTAGCCAAGAAAGCTTGGCTGTTGAAAGGTCTGTTGATGTAAAGCTCTCAGGGCACTTCACGTGGAATATGAATTCCTACAATGGGGGGATGCAATGAAAGAGAAAAAGAAGAGGAAAGGGGACCATGGTCCATGAAGGAGGTCACAAAAATAGATCTGACTTATCGAAGTAGGTTAAATTAGTGAGGGAGGCAGTCTAAGAAGAAAATGTGTAAAGGGAAATGTGAAGATAGCTCAGTAAAGTATGAACAGATACATGAAAAGTATATACAGGAATATATTACAAACAATATATACTACAAAATAAACAAATGCAAGCTCATGAATTCAAGAACGCATGCCAGTTATGCTTGGGAGATGAAATAGCTCAGGTCACGAAATTGTGGTCATGCAATCTGTGCGCAGTAAATGGACGGATGGGAAAGTCTTTCGGATTTATGCTGTAATTCAGTGTGGCACTGAAGTTTCCTACGTCAGTGAGGAGTCCTTTTTTGAAAAATTTATCATTGAGTCTATGCAAGTAAACGTCCATTGGCTCTAGCTTAAGATCATTGTGAAGCAGAGCATTTCTGATATAAAAGTGGCTCCCTATAATAATTCTCAAAAAATTTTTCTGCACTATCTGCAGCTTTTTGATGTTAGCAGGAGAAGCGGCGGCCCAAGCATGTGATGCATAACTCATGATGGGACGTAGAATTGCAATGTAAGTATGATGTTTCCTAATAAGGCTACGTCCAGAGTGTTTGCCTAACAGGACATATAGCTGATTAGCAGCTGCTAAGGCTTTACGAGCAACATGTCTAATGTGAGTATGCCAGGTGAGCATATGATGATTCAGTAAGAACATATGATGATTCAGTAAGAACTGTTCGTACACTTATGAATGGTATGGTGTATTTCCTTCATGCAAATATTTTCTATTGCAAGTGTCTTCAAGATGTATACAGTTTAATCTTATTAAATTTGTATAATCAAGAGATATGTTTCTGGTGTTAAATCTTTGAAGAGCTATTAATGCTGCAAATCCAGTAATTGCTGCGATATTACGAAAATGGTAATATAAATTAATGTTGCTAGCCCTGAGCTGATAATTTTTTTTTAAATAACAGTTCAATAATTTTATAAATTGCTTCGCATTTTCAAATAATTTTTTATGAACTTTTATTTATCTAGAGTATATATTACACTAGTTTTCAAGTAAATCATTTCATAATTTCTTTATTATTGATGATACTTTCATTTATTCTTTGATTTATCAAAACTGTTGTGTGCATATACATAAGTAAATTAATAGATGAGAATGTTTTCATGCATTTGACTTCAAATTTGCTTGTATGTAGATCTTAATTCTTCAACGTATTTTGCTTCTTCAGCAGATAAAATTGCATCACTTTTCATATCCCATCTTTGTGAAAGAAGCATGCAGAAGTTAACCTCTGTTAAACCCAAAATAGGCGTGTGAGTTAGTAAAGCTTCCCAAGGTATTACAGGATCTGTTCTTGCAATCTGAAATTAAAATTTATTTGGATATTAATCTGATACTAAACTGCTATAAACTATTATATAAATTACTGCATTAAAGAAATTAATTTCGTTATTATTTATATTACATGTAAAAGATATTTATTTATCAATAATGATATATGCATACTTAAGTAGAATATTTAATTAATGAAAATACAATGTGGTATTTAAATAATGATACTCTCGTTCATGTTCTTAAGACAACAATAATTACAATAATTTATTTGCCTTTATATTTTAAATTTGATCTAAGAAAAGAACCAGTAAAATATCTATATACACACTGATAGAAAATGCAATCCCACTACCAAAAAGAAACCAGTTTAGAGAAATAAAATGTAGGCAAATGCCTTTGTCTATTTATTTGATAACTGCTTCATGGTCATAGAATAAATTTTGTGTGTGAAGACCCATTTCAAATATAAAATGGTAATACATTAATACCTGCTGTAGCTGCCAAACTATTGGATGCAAGCATGTATTGTGTCATACAGGTACAATTTGTCACTGTGTGGAATGGTGTTCCCTGCCGGTTCCACTTGCTCAGTGGTTGTGGATGATGCTAGATTTGTCATATAGTCATGTCCCATGCGTACTGGGTAGGAGAAAGATCAGATGATTTCACGGGCCAAGGCAACATGTGAACACTCTGTAGATCACTTACATTATGGTAGCGGCAAAGAACAAGTGTACTCCTGTTGAAAAGTGCCCCCCCCATGGAATATTACTCAAGAATGGCAGCGCAACTGGTGCAAACACACTCTGAAATACAAATTTGCTGTCAACATTATGTGGGACAATGATGAGAGTGCTCCTAAAGGAATAGGAAATTGGATAACGAAATTGCCCCCTAAAACATAACTCCTGGTGTAGGTCCAAGGCATCTTTGCTTCAGACATCGTGGTTCCAAGCGCTTACATGCTCTCCTTCGAAGCAAAATACTGGTGCCAAGAACAGAAATGACCCTCTTTAGGGAAGAGCCTTGATTGACGACTTGTGTCAGTTGAAGCACAGTGGAGTCCCTGTTCTGTTGTACAATTCGTCGGAGACAACGCCGATCACTCTGTTGGAAAACTGTGCTCGAACCGCAGTTATGTCTTCTAGAGAAGGTCTGTGGGTTCTGATTCCAACTTTTGAAAACATTTGATATGGCTGCTTTTGAGAGCCCAGTGAGATTTGTTATCTTCGAAATCGAGGCCCCTGCTAAACAGACACCAAAATTAGCCCTTTTTCAAATGATGAAAGATCTGTCGTTTTTCCCATTTTACCTCATTCATCGTGATAAGCCTTACTTATACTAGCATTCTAACCAAGTGTAACCCACGTCATAAAAAAATTTGCATACTTCATCCCTAGCACGCATTCAAATGAAAATCCCAAAGGTTTCTAATTCATTGGTTAGTGTGTGTATATATAAACGTTGGATATGATCATATGTTAAGCAAATGAAGGGTTCATCCAAAACTGTGAGAAAGTAAAATGTTAAGTTTTAATTATTCTACAAATATGGTTGTGTGTGAGTATCTTCTAATATTGATGATTTACTTTTATGTTACGACTGTGCATAATCGTACCAGTGAATTCTGAAACTGAATTTGCTGTGTCAGTGGCTTAACTTCAACCACAGGAAGATTTTGCTCTTTCAATAAGATCTTGGCAAACCACACATTGTGTACTCTACCCCTACTTAAAACCAGCGTCGGATTTAGCATTTTTCCTAGGCGGGGCAAAAACTTAAAAATGCCGCCCTTACCCATCTTCCTTTAAGTTTCTGTAACAAATTTTAGTTTTTTAAATAAACATAGAAATAGGTAGTTTTCGAGATAAAATGTAAAATCCATTTTATAATAAGAAATTCTTTATTTACCATTTTTGTTCTAAAAGAAATAAACATAATAAATGGTTTAATTTCTTTACTTACAGCAAAACATAAGCGAGCTACCTGCCTAAGAGGGGTGAGGTCTTTCTAAGAGTAATTGACTCCTATGCAAGTTACGCATGAGTGAAACGGCGGAAACACCCATACAGCCCGTGCAAACCCTCTTAATTCAACTACTTCTCCGGTGCAATGAAATAATCAAATTTACATTTTCCCTGAAATGAGGATTTTTTTCAATATTTGCAACAATACCTACTCATACTAATAAATGATGCTAATAGAAAACGATTCAGAACTAAATACTAAAATAGTTCAGCACAGCTCAAAAATGGAAATCAGACATTAATAAATAATGAAAAATTTCATTTAAACAAATATAAGCAAATTACAAATCACTAATACAGTGGATTGAATATTTTACCAATTTCTCGATACTAACAGTAACTTTAACCTAGCATGTTAAATATTCATTTCACAATAACGTCTTCATGTAGCCTGCTCAAGAACTCGTCCTCACAAAGCCCAGTAATATAATAAATATTTACATATTCACGCAAAAGACTATTTTTGTACTGTAATAATCAAAATTACATTTTCTCTGAAATACGCAATTTTGGAATATTTGCAACAATAACTAGCCAGACCATGGAGGTAAGAAAGAAAGGAGGGGCCAACCCCGCACTGCGAGTAAAGCACTGCTCCGATGGCTTTTCGGATCTTCCAGATGGAGTGTTTTTTGTTTACATTTAGAACCTCCCTTGACAGCGCAGTGATAGTATTTCGACACACGACACTTCCATACAAATCGAAAAACGGGACACTTCACACTTCCGCATAAAAGAAACATTCATTGTGTGATGGATAATAGCAATTTGTATAGTTATGCTTATGCAAAATGTTATGTTTAAAGAAGATTTTAGCAAAAATGTTACTCTTTAAAGAATGGAAAATACCTTATGGTATCCTTTAAAATTATATACGTTCTTTCGATACCCTTTGATTATGCACTCTTAATAAAAAAGAATATTTAGGTTACAAACAATAGATTACAATAAGTTGGGACAATAGATGAGCTGATTAATTATGTAACTAACTTCCATTAGCTATACATAACAGCAATACGGGCTACTACTGAAACTAAAAGGTTAGTATTTGTACTTCTTTTCATAATTCTTATTTCAATAATAATTTTACGTTTTTACCAAACGCTCTTAAAATATTACGGGATTAAAATTTTGCCTGCGAGCCTTTTGTTCTGCAAATAAATCTATGGCATCATCATAATTAATTTGATGTGCTGTTTGGTTTTCGATTGCCAGAATTGCGAGACTTGATAAACGCTCCTGGCTCATCGATAATTGTTAAATATTTGCATAGTCGCCTATAATAACGGCAACCGCCCGCAATAAAAGGAGGTGCTTTCCTTAGTGGCACCGCAGTTCCTTTTAGTTCGAGCCAGAATAGACCTGCCCGGGGAGAAGCCAGGGGATGAGAGATTCCGGTTCCCGCCCTGTTCCGGTTCCCGTCTTGTTGCGGATCCAGTCCTGTTCCGGTTCCCGTCTTGTTCCAGTCCAGTTCCGGTCCTGATCCAGTCCTATTCCAGTTCCAGCGTGGCCGTTTAAGTCCAAAACACGTAGGAGCGGATGTCTGAATTCTGCGAATGGAGATATACGCCGAAAGGGCTAGATGGATTCTGTCTTTTAAGGGAAAGTGTTCTTCACCGTGCCGGCATAGCTGTTACTTTAAAGCACTTTGAAGTTTTTCCCACCCAAGATGTTAAGTTTTTGTTTGTGATGTTAAGTTTCATCAGTGTTGAAGTTCCAGTTAAATAAACCTTTAAGTTTTAGACAAGGTTTTTGTGTTCTTCAGAAAATTTTAGATTCGAAGTCAGATACAGCACATAGGATTATCATCGAAAAATCAACAATAATATCAGATAGTGTTTAATAAGTTTTAATTTGCTAAAACTTCGCTCACAGCTAGCGGATGTAGTTGGAAGCATAGAGTAAATCCGCAGAGCAATACAAATATTGTAAAAGGCACCCTGAAAGTCATAGGTGTAGATCTGTTGAAAGAGATAAAAAGCTTTAGCCTTTTTATGTCGACAAATAACATCGGGGCTTGTTCTTTAAAATCGGCAAGTTTCTGTCAGAACTCAAAAATGCGTTTAGAGATCTCGCTCATATTTTCGTGCAAGATCTGCTCTATTCTTTTGCAGTTCTTCAGTTCACATATTCAATATTTCAGGACCATTGAGAAATGGAAATCTGAATTTAGTATAATAGCCCTGTTTACTCTCATTTTAATTTCTGATAAGATTCGATCAAATACAATTTTCATTGCATTAGAAAGTAGCTGAACACGATGAAATGTTCGTGATTCGTCCTCGCACAATTCATCAAATTCCTTTTTGCGTTTTAGAATTCACTTATTTGTCAGAATAGGTTCAACCTCAATTTTTTTCAGCTGCTTCTTTAATTCTAATAACTTCTATCCAATATTCCGTAGGAATTTCTCTAATTTTTTTTAAAAGTTTTGGTCAGAACTTCCATTAATGCGACGGAACGCGCAAGAATAATATCTTCCATTTGAATTTCAGAATTTATTCGATTGATTTCTCGAAGAATACTAGCCAAAAATTGTCAGGCTGATAATAAATTCAAAAATTTTTACAACATGTAGCAGATGCCTTGCTTCGTACTTTGATACATAGTTAATTTTAAAATAGTAATATAATACTTTGAAAGATAATTAATTTCTTTTAAGTATTTTACTACTTCTGGTACATTCGTTAGAAGGGCTTTCAAAGCCACATATTTTGCCAACCATCTCGTCTGGCTGCTTCCTTTTGAGTTGGTTTTTGTACATGTTTTCGTAATATCCCATCGAATAATGAATCCCACGAAAAAGCTAAATATCTTCTGGATAATTCCAAAGAAGTTAACTGCTTCGGGGTATGACGGGGGCAGAATGCACACAGACAAGATTCAAATAGTGAGCCAAACGTCGCATATATTCAGGCAGCTTATTCATTTCTATAATCCTAGCTTGTACTCCAGGATTACTCCAAGATCTAGTATGGCCGGTAAGTACCGGCCATATTAGATCCGTTATCCTCAGTTTGACCACGACATTGCCAATATCCAAACCATCAAGTGATAGTTTTCCCACAATCTGTTGAAGAAATACATTCTCCTGTCTTTCCGCCAATTTCTATGAAATCAATATAGCTCTCCTTTATTTCACACACATCACCACATATTTTTTACGTATGGAATCACCTGGCTCATTTGTTCTGTACTGGAATGCAATCGAACATTATTGTATAATATTTGGCTTCGTTAATATCATTTAAAATGCTATTGCGAACTGTTTTTGACATTACATCAGTAATTTCATTTTGAATTATCTTTGTTAAATATGATACTTTTGTCCCTTCCTTAGGTATTCTAACTGGTACTTAAGAGTTATGTTTGGCTAGCAGAGTCACTAAATTAAAAATATTGCGTTGACTAGGCCGAGGACACTTTATGAGCAGACTGCCAGGGATTTCATCAGACCCACGGAAGTTCCGGTTCCCGTCTTGTTCCAGTCCAGTTCCGGTCCTGATCCAGTCCTATTCCAGTTCCAGCGTGGCCGTTTAAGTCCAAAACACGTAGGAGCGGATGTCTGAATTCTGCGAATGGAGATATACGCCGAAAGGGCTAGATGGATTCTGTCTTTTAAAAGAAAGTGTTCTTCACCGTGCCGGCATAGCTGTTACTTTAAAGCACTTTGAAGTTTTTCCACCCAAGATGTTAAGTTTTGTTTGTGATGTTAAGTTTTCATCAGTGTTGAAGTTCCAGTTAATAAACCTTTAAGTTTTAGACAAGGTTTTTTTGTGTTCTTCAGAAAATTTTAGATTCGAAGTCAGATACAGCACATAGGATTATCATCGAAAAATCAACGTTGGCCCTCCGCGACAGGATATTGTCTGCAAGGTAAGCGACTTTTTTATTTTTTGACATTATGGAAGCTTTAAAATTAGCAAGAACTCAATACAGAAGACTATTCAGTAAAGCTTGTAATAATTTGACAATGAAAACTAAATTTAATCAGGAAGAAAATTAATTAAAATAAAAGTTATTGCCGAGAAATTAAGTTTTGTTTGATACTGAAAAAAAATACGAGAAGAATGTTTTAAAGAATTACAGATGAGACTTTACTTATTAAAGAAATGGCTGAATCTGATTATATTTTTGAGGTGGAGACTTCTGGAAAGTAAAGTAAAAGATCTTACTTCTGGAACCCCGAATGTAACTTTAATGATCCGTCCTTTGTTCAGAATAAATGTTACATTATCCGAAGATTAAATTGCCTATCTTTGACGGCAACGTGAAGAAATGGTTAGGATTTTGGGGGCAATTCCAAAGATTATAAAGATCCTACTTAGATATAATGATAAATTTGCTTATTTAGCACAGGCTATGGAGAGAAATCTCCTGCAGAGAAATAGTTAAAAGCTTTCCGCCAACTGGCGATAGTTACAAGACGCAATCGAAGCATTGCAGACGCGTTTTGGTAAAAGAATTACTAATGGAGATTTATTCGTGATTTGCTAATCCTTGTTATTCAAAAACAAGGTACACACTCTTTGCGGAAACTATACGATGAACTCGAATCTAATCTAAGAGCCTTGGAGATATTGGGAATAAATAGAGGCAATATATTGCGCGATATTATATCCATTGGTAGAATCAGCATTGCCGAATGAAGTCTTAAAACGTGGGAGAGACTTAGGTTTTCGCGTAAAGGATCAGAAAGTTTAACCGGTGAAACGCCGAGTTAAGGAAAGGGAATCTGACCTTGAGCGCCTTTTATGTTTCTTGCGCGGTGAAGTTGAAAGTGAGGAAAGAATTTCTTTAGCAGCTAAATCTTTCAATGTTTTTGATCGATTGGCTCACGGTATAAGAAAGGGAATTCGGGTTTAAAGATAAGAGAACCTCGCTTAAAACCTACGGCAGCTGAACTGTTTACTTCTCTCTAATGAAGCTAGAAAAGGCTGCATATTTTGTTCCATATAAATCATGGTTCTGCGAATTTTTTCAGGCGCGTAACTTATCGTTGTCAGAAAGAGAAGTTTTGTCCAAAGGACACGCTCTTGTTATCTGTGTCTGAAATCTGGACCTCTGTCAGGAGGTGTAGATTAAAAA